CATGCGTAGTGAAGTGTTCTCAAAACACGTGCTTGCCGAGGCAAAGTGGGGCCGCCATTTTTCTGCCCGTATGTGTTTTGAAGCTTTGTCCCAGTTCGCTGAAGCAAAGTGCGGTCGCCACAAAGTAAACTAAGGCCCTAAGCTTTTATGATAGTAGAATTACATAAAATATTTGCATCGAGCATTGCTCTTCCGTAAACAAAAGGAACAAAGCCAGTTAGACATAAATCAATCATAAGGCAATACCGCGCCTTATATATATAAGAAAATAAAACATCAAAGCATGAATGTTTACTTTATATAAACCAAACCTCTAATTTCCCCACTGAAAAAAATATATATATTAGGAGGACTTGACTCATCAGTGATCATTCCTCCCAGCGGTTTCGCCAATTTTTAATCTACCATACCGCTTTTCTTAGAACTCTAATACTGTATTAGGCGATTCTGCCTATATATTATTTCATCGCAGTGGGTAGCGTAAAGGTTTGTAGTTATAAAAAAGAAATACAAAATATGTATAGAAATTAATCAATTCAAAATTTTTACTTGAATTGAACAATAGTGAAACCTTTATGAATCTAACTTTTATTTATGGTTTCTTTTTATCATATTTTTCTTGATTTACCAGATAATATCATATGTTAATGATTTTACACATATCGTAAAATCCTATATAATAAAATGTTTTCAAAAATAGACTTGTTCACCTAATCGATCCTTAAGATGTCGTTAAAAAAATTAGAGGAGATAACAATATCTGAAGAAAAAAAAAGGTTACAACGTTAAGTTAAAACGAAAGAAATAAACCTCAATGTGTGTGGTTATTGGGTTAACCTATATACGCTACTCATTGGCAGAGATTTTATTTTTCTTTTGGTTCGAATTTATTTATTTGAACCTACCAATATATATAAATCTTGCTTAATCAATATATTGACATGATGAATTAGCGCGCCATCTATTATAAAAAGTGCAAACTATTTTAGACGTGTATATGATTTTTTATTTGATAAAAAAACATACGCATCAAAATAGTTTGATATTGATATAATAAAACAAAAATTTACCTATTTTTCTAACACACCAGATATACAAGAATGGATCAATAAAAAACGATAAAATTTAATAAAAAAAAGAAGGAAACAAATGTCTATAGGTATACATATTTGAATTGAATTCTGTTGTTATATTTTTAAAATATATATCAAGACAAGAAATCATATGGCATTATTTTTTTTTCTCAATAAAATTGACGATCAAAAGAAGCAGCCCCTAAAAACAAATATAGAGGCTGCCATAAAACCTTATACATTTGAAGCTCCCATGACAATTTCAATTAACAACTTTATTGACTCCTAGTCAATAGCAATATAAAACATTCAGAGTCAAATTAAAATACAGTATTGTAATAAAATAAAAATAGAAAATATTTACACCAGACGAAGCCTTCTCTGAAGGGACGTCTGGATCTTATCAGGTGCTATAAGCCTCCCTGAGTGTGGAATGCCCTTGCTTATTGTGCAGTTTTTGTCTCCAACATGCTCAATGACAATGATGCTCCCATGAGGGATTAGCCAAAGCTACAAATTACACTGATCTTATCATTTATTGATGGAATATTAGGTCACACATGAGGTTGACGAGTATTATATCCATCAATAAATCAATACCAACATGAAACTGTCCTCCTAAAAGTAATGGAGGGCTTTGGAAAAATATAATTTGGTTATAAAACCAATGAATGGAACACCTTTTTGTACCTTCTAGTGTGAGTACAAATCTATTATAGGGCGGGCAATTCCTAATGGGATGACTAAAACAAAGAGGTACCGAATTAAAGCTCGAATAAGCTTACGACTTAATCTTGCAATGAAAATGTAACTTTATTCAAATAAAAAGTGAGTTATGTGTTTATTTAATCTCAAATTTGAGTCGGCTTCTTTTTCCACCAAAGGTTGTTGGCCCCATCCTGGAAAAATGTGTATTATTTATTTGTTGGTTTACATTATCCGTGGGAATACAATACACGATACATAAAATAGCGCCGCAACATTTATATCTTGTTTATGTAGAATATAAGAAGAATTTGTTGAGATCACCAAGTTTAAAATATTAAAAATATTTTTACACGTGAGAAATGTCTGTGAATGAAGGTTAACTCTACAAATATATGAAGTCCCCTTTTTTTGAAATTCACTTTTTTCTGAAAAATTGTTTCTCATCTGATCTATAATGATCTTAATTATTATGTATTACTAGACGAATGGCCCGGCTTCGCCCGAGAATTCCCCCAAGTGTAATTACCTTCATACTGAAATTTCATCAATAATAAATAGTAGAAGTTCCATAGAAGGGCAATACAGAAGTAGCACATAAACCACAGGCAAAAAGTGTGTGTGATGCAAAAAATATTATTATATTAGTGTTTAGGTATTTGATTAAATTATTTTTTTACAATCCATTTAATTGTTTTAAAATCAATATAGTTCAAATAGATTAGCTTTTCCACTCAACTCCCGAGGTACCCGCCCCTGCGCATTAACCCTTGAAATTTCCTGAGTTGAGTGAGTGATTGCGATGAATCTTGACTGCGATGCCCATCTTCTTAGTAAGAATAAAAAATAGGTGTATAAAAATAATATCCAAATACTGTCATTTAAATATTTTTATGTAAAAAATAAAATAGCGCATGGAAATTAAGCAAACATATGTGTTTGCTAATGACTGCTGCTTCATTTTAAACGATTTTTTTTAAGAGATGAAGAAAAGCAATGGCCAGAACAAAAATTAATAAAAAATACGAAAGCCATTATTTACATACAGTAACGCTAATTCTGTAAAGTCTTTTAAAATTGAATTGTATGCCTTTACCGTAGCTTAGTTAGCAATATAAATTTCTACCTCAAAACTCAATACTTTGTATAAAAAAGTAACACTCGTATAAAAAAAGATATCTCAAAAAGGTACGCAATTAACTTTTATAAAATGCAGAACGCACACTGGTCGCTTAATTGTCCTGGTGTTGTTACTTCGCCTCGCATTAACTCCGCGTAAAAAAAAATATTTAAACGAAAAAAATAAATAGTAAAAAATACTAATCAGAATATAGCCGAAAGTTTTCCTCAGGTTTATAAAAAGCAACATGGAAATTTAGTACCAATTGGGTCTGTAGTTTATGAGTTTATCGCGAAACAGACAACAGACATTGACTTTTGTATATAAGAAGAATGTCTCTCTGATTGCTATTCTTAGATTATTCTAACTAAAGTGTTGTGAAGAATAAATTCAAAATTTGAGTTTGAAACCAATCCTAGGTAAAAATTCGATCAGATACTGCTCAAGGTCCATTCAACTATTTGTTGATCAATTTGATATTTTTTAATGCGATTCTTTCTAATTATTGGGAATAATCACAATAAATTGAATATTGTAATTATTATATGAACTGCATTTTGAAATAATAAAATGTCTAAAATTATATGTATATCCCCAGTTTTATAAAAAATAACTAGATAATAAATTAAATTAATTGTACAAGACGAAATGATTCACTTTAAGCATCCTTTGTATTATGCTCTATATAAACCCGGAAAGCAGACCCAAGTTACAACAATTAACTTTGGAGATGGATGGTGTCCAACTCTATGATTAATTAAGAATAAATTCCATTTAGCATGAGCAATCCGTCGTTTTGATCAATGGTAGAAATTTCTTCATTTGTCTCCAAATATCACATTTGACTCTAAATTTAGGAGATACATTATACCACCTTTTCACGATTTAAAATGTGCTTGTGTTGTATGTAAATAATGTGAGTATAATGTCATTTATTATAAGTATTGTAATTAACTTGATTAAAATGTGTGAATTTGATTGAGTTATCAAATATAGTTACAAACGATGGAGGAGACAGAGAGACACCCAAGCTAGACATTCTATTCAGAACAATACTTAAAATTACACCGCATAAGTTTCTTTTTCTATGAAAAATCAATATTTATTTCAAAGAGAAATATTTACTATTTCTAACTTTTTTGAATGAAGCATGAGAGGGTGAAAATATGAAGAGTAATGGCGAACGGAAAAATAAAAGTGTCCAGGGGCGGGAATCGAACCCACAACCTTCTGCTTACCGGGCAGGTGCCATGTCCACTAGCCTACCCTGGACGTATTCCTCCGTTCGTAAATAATATTTAAAGTAACTTATAAAAATTATAAAGGACTGCGGCGGGTGATTATAAACAATACTTAAAATTACACCGCATAAGTTTCTTTTTTTATGAAAAATCGATATTTATTTCAAAGAGAAATATTTACTATTTCTAACTTTTTTGAATGAAGTATGAGAGGGTGAAAATATGAAGAGTAATGGCGAACGGAAAAATAAAAGTGTCCAGGGGCGGGAATCGAACCCACAACCTTCTGCTTACCGGGCAGGTGCCATGTCCACTAGCCTACCCTGGACGTATTCCTCCGTTCGTAAATAATATTTAAAGTAACTTATAAAAATTATAAAGGACTGCGGCGGGTGATTATAAACAATACTTAAAATTACACCGCGTAAGTTTATTTTTCTATTAAAAATCAATATTTATTTCAAAGAGAAATATTTACTATTTCTAACTTTTCTGAATGAAGTATGAGATGGTGAAAATATGAAGAGTAATGGCGAACGGATAAATAAAAGTGTCCAGGGGCGGGAACCAGGGGCTAGTGGACATGGCACCTGCCCCGTTAGCAGAAGGTTGTGGGTTCGATTCCCGCCCCTGGACACTTTTATTTTTCCGTTCGCCATTACTCTTCATATTTTCACCCTCTCATACTTCATTCAAAAAAGTTAAAAATAGTAAATATTTCTCTTTGAAATAAATATTGATTTTTCATAGAAAAAGAAACTTATGCGGTGTAATTTTAAGTATTGTTTATAATCACCCGCAGCAGTCCTTTATAATGTATTATAAGTTACTTTAAATATTATTTACGAACGGAGGAATACGTCCAGGGTAGCCTAGTGGACTTGGCACCTGACCGGTAAGCAGAAGGTTGTGGGTTCGATTCCCGCCCCTGGACACTTTTATTTTTCCGTTCGCCATTACTCTTCATATTTTCACCCTCTCATACTTCATTCAAAAAAGTTAGAAATAGTAAATATTTATCTTTGAAATAAATATTGATTTTTCATAGAAAAAGAAATTTATGCGGTGTAATTTTAAGTATTGTTTATAATCACTCGCCGCAGTCCTTTATAATGTATTCTATTCAGAGCCCAGAAATAGACATCTTTAGCACCGTTTTCTTGCAGGACTTCTCGGAAAGTCTAGAAAAGCGTCGAATATAGCCTAATAAAACCTTTAATACCTAAACTACCTTTTATAACACAGTATATACCTTTTTTTACAATAAATATATGAATACTAACAGAAAAATGTTATATACGAAAATCTAAATTCATATCCTTTTTTAAAAATATTATTATACAAAGTTTTAAAATTTTTGCTCAAAGATATGTCTAAATAGGTTTAAAACTTTAGAACTTTTTCTCCTCTAACGACAACAAAAAAGTTGGTAAATCCCTTTCATAACCTGGCTCCCAAAACTAGATTATATGCCTCTGTGAAATTTGATGTAACTTTAGAAATAATTCTTTTTCTATGCTTCCTATCTCTTAGTTTTGAGAAAAATGTCACTTTTATCTTATATTTACCTATTATATATATATTATTTCTGAATTGGTAATTTTTAATTTTATCATTTATTCTATTTGAAAATTATTTTGCGATATTTTTATACCTATAAAGATACAAAATTTAAATCGATTTTATTACGGATTTCGCTAAACCTATTGCGCAGACGATTAAGTTATCCCATATGTAAGTAGCTGCAGATATACTATACTATACAGTTTATACAAAATGTTGTTCAATGATAGATAATTTAGATATTTCACGATTATATTGAGACGTTACAAAAAAACAATTTTCAGTTGTACATAAATTCCTTTAAGGTGTTACTTTAATTTTGCATTTGTTTATTTTCAATTTCCTTTTCTCATTCATTAAAAGTCAATGATGTACATCCAAAATTAGTAAAAACTCAATAAAAACGCTATGTAAAAATAGATATAAAAGCAAATGGCTTATAAACAAAAGCGGCAATAAAATGAGTTGAGGTAAAATGTCTATTCCATTAACAAACATTTCACTTTTAAAATAATGAACTTTAAAATTAAAGTTTTACAAAACAGAAAATTAGCGTTTTAAAATAAAAACGTGGCAATATAAAGACTATAACAATTATTAAAAAATAATCATTTTCATCATTTTTATTTCTCCTACTAATAATAGTGAAAAATTGGTGCAATATTATTCTTTAGACAAGATTCATTCTCAACGAATTTAGGACACTCTGTTGATAATATATTTTTTTAAATTAGTGGCGTTTTCTATATTAGCTATATAACTATATGCTCGCTAATAGCTTGCTAAACTAGCAATATACTGTCAATAGATTTCAATTTATTCTAAAGCGTTCTCTTCTCATTATAATATATATATATTCATTAATATACGTATATATTCCGTTTACTCAAACTAGCGGACTTAGGTCGTTGACAAAGCCACAACACCGCTTTAGCAAACTGAGAAGTGTCCAGCTGGAGACCATGGTTTCGGGCTAGGGTGACTTTATTCCATGAGATCCACACGGGATCTGATGGAATCTTCACAATCCACCAAAGAGGTGTTTATCTGTTAGAGGGGCTAGGCCAAATTTGGTGTCGTAGCTTTGTCACCGACCCGAGGCCGCTATTTTGCGGGGACGGTCTATAAATGGCGCTTAGTTTTAGTATCTTATTTTTATAGATTGATTTTCTTCTGGCAAAAATTCTCATATATATTTGCATATATATGATTAATAATAAAGCTAATTAGTAGAGAACATATGGATTTAGGCATATATTGCGTATATCTATGTACATATAATGTGTGCACATCTATGTACACATGTACAAGTATATAAAAAAACAAAATAAATAATGTTGCATTTAATAATATCAATATTATAATAATAAATGTTAATTTATAATACAATATAATGCGGCTTTTGATTGTAAAACGACGTTTGAGAAGTTTTACCGTAAATGTTTCTTTTGAACGAAAATCGTGATTTATTTTAAGGAGAAATAACGACTATTTCTAACCTTAGGGATGAAGTATGAAAGGATGAGTTATGAAGAGTAATGATGAACGGAAAAATAAATTACGATTTTTCGTTCAAAGGAAGTATTCATGGTAAAACTTGTCAAACGTCGTTTTTAATAATAAATGTATTTATTTTATAAAATATCTATATACAGAGGATGTCTAATGACTGTATGATTAGAATAATCTAGGCAGGGAGAGAATATATCTGCCCATTGTATTATTCACTTCTCAACGCACCTCTAAGAAAATATCAATGACTTTTGCCATCCTCTCCGATTATCTCAGTATCTTCCAGTCACAATCATTGGCAGAACTTAAGTTATACCTTAAACTTTATATTGAGATTCAGATAACAACTCTGAAAGATATTTAATACACAGTAACCTTTATGAAGATACTCGAGATAACCAAGTGTGAACAAATTCCCTCTGTCTCCTCTAAAATATCAGACGACCATCGACATAAAAGACTTTCCACTTTTCTCCATGAGTAATATCAACTTCTAAGCATTAATAAAACGTTATTTACTGCCCATCCATCATCTATTTTTCTTCACTTCATCATATATGTGTGCTAGAGCAATGCGGCTATGCAACAGGGAAATAAATGGGGATTTTTAAAACAAATAATTAAATTTTCTGAAATGATTTAAGTTTCAATAAAAATCATCAGAGAATCAGCGGCCATATTGTTTGATAAATTGGTAAATAAAAAATGTACAACACGTATTCACGTATTGGAATACCAAGAAAGAACACCAATAATAGCTGATGATAGTTTAATAAAACACTAACGACTTCGTAGAATAATCAGGGGACAAATATCTAATGCTATCCTAGATATGTGAATAATGTAAATTCAAATTACATAATGGAAGCGATCGGATATGCCTTTTTTATTTTCCACAAACCCACATATATATATACTTTTTATATATGTATATGTGTGTAAATTCACGTATAAGTTCGGAAGTGAATACCCTGTAAGAGATATATTCAGAGTAAATTAAATTCTACCAAAATAGGTGAAATTGGTTGGATGTAAATTATCTCAACATACACAATCATCAAGGATTATAGTTTAAGCTAAGAGAAGAAAAGTTATTTAATAAATATATTTGAACATAATGCGATTTTTAGTACTTAAGATACATGAAAACATAGATATTACACTATATAATCTTATTTCTAAATGAAACAATGTAACATTTCTAGGTAGAAATTAAATTGTTGTCTACTTGTGCGATAATTCTAGAAATAATATTCTATTGAACATATATGTATGATATAAGTTGGCGTGACATTTCTAATATCACCACGTAAAGGATAAAAAAAGTCTATTACCTCTCTATAAGAATAAAAGTGAGAGAAATCTCAATTGCAAACAGTCTTTAATAGTTGGTTTACAAAAGAACAACGAATTACAAAATGATAAAATCGTTGGCTTTAGAAAATGATGTTGATGTGTAATCATAGGATGATGATATCTATGCTGTTTTACAACTTAGATGCGTTTAAAATATATTCTGAAGCAGAAACGCTTAAAATTTGATGATAATCATATGACAAAAGGTTTCTATTAGATTTGGAATAAATTTTATATTCAAAAAAATATAAATTTAGTTGTAGATATGAAATATTTTAGGTAATATTATAATTATATTAAGTAGACATTATCTTGTCAGTTTATCCGAAGACGATATAGTTAAGTCGCTAAATTAATTATAAGTCTATATATATCAGATATAATATAATTGAAAACGGGTGTTTGGGTTTCACTGGATGTGTGATGATACATAATTAATGAGGTAATAATAGCCTGAAGCGCTTGCGATGATTAATTGCTTAAATATACCCTACAGTATACTCTGCTTGGATATATTTGTTCATTCTATGAGATATAATCTCCATGAATTCACTAGCCACATTATCAAGATAAAATTTACTACCTTCCCCTAAATTTATATTTAGGTTTTGGAGAAATAGGTTAATATATATATTTAAATCTATTATAAGAAGCATTATAATTAGATTATCAAAATAATTCAAAAAGAATAGAGCTTCTCTCCCGTTAAATTAAACGTCAAAACTAGACGCCATCTATTGACTGTCGCCGCGAACTAGCGACCTTGGGTTGGTGACCTAGCCACAACACCAGCTTTGGAAAACTGAGAAGCGTTCACCTAGTGACCATGGTTTCGGATATAAAAAAGCATAGGGCTCCTCTCCCGTCAAATTGAACGTCAAAACTAGACGCCATCTATGGTCCTAGGTGGACGCTTCTCAGTTTGCCAAAGCTGTTGTTGTGGCTTTGTCACCTACCCGAGACCGCTAGTTTACGGCGACAGTCAATAGATGACGTCTAGTTTTGACGTTTAATTTGACGGGAGAGGCGCCCTATGCTTTTATGGATCAATTTCCTCCCAGAATAATTTACATAAAAATAATCCAATTAATAAAAATAGAAACAGTTTTTCCATTGGTTTGTAAGCATTTATAAATAGATATGTTTTGCTGAGCGTATGATCATAAAAATCAAATTTTACAATTAATCGATATTTAATAGGATTATGTGGTCAACTAGGAGAGGTTTATTTAACTAGACATTCACTACATTAGGAAGATATAAGTATTTATATATTTACGCGTCTATAATAGTTTCGAATTATTCGTATAATAGATATAACCACACAAGAAAACAAAAAGGAAATGTCTCTAGACCAAGGGTCGGCAACCTGAAGCTCTTTGAATGTGAATCTGCGTGTTGTACTCGTATAAATACAGTTTTCATTGATGCGAATACTATTCATTGTTGGCAAGAAAAAATGTGTGGCTCTTTAAAAAAATGAAATTTTGTAAATTGTAATTT